ACTGTGAGGGGTCATAACGCCGCTCTTCTGTTCCGATCAAAACATCAAACAGGTTCTCCCCACTCAGTGACACACACGCTGAGAAACCTGACCAGTCGGAGATCACTAAAAATAACATTAAAGAGGTGTGTGAACTTGCAAGTATGATGTCAGACATTGTAACATGCTCTGGTCCCCTCCCTACTTACCGTGGTGATGAGATACATAGCAGACGCCTAAGTGGATGTCTAAGTGGTGCCCGCAAAATAACATAGGTTTCATAGACACACCTAGATATCAGACTATAGAGACTGTGTAGAGTCTGGACCAATCAGACACACCATTTTTCATTTGATTTAACAAATCAATTATTCATTAGATTAACAAGTCGTCACAGACCCCTCACCCAATAGACTGGGCGCCAGGATGTCTGCGAATGACCCGCTTGGGATTTCAGCCTTTCTCATTGGACAAGCCCATCTTGAGAGGCGTGAATCTTCTCAGACCTTAAAGGCCTCACACCAGTGACCCGCCTCCAGTCTGCGGTTCGGTTAGATTCTAAGATGAAAATGTGAGCTCCAACGCTGCTAAGAACCCACTAAGTTCGTGCCAGGCTTCGGCCTTGACTTTCCATTCACTGGGATTCTCTGACTCAAACTGGTTCTTTTTCATCAACCAACTTCAGCAAAGATCAACTTGAGCCTTCAGATTGCATCAGGACTCTCTGTCAGACAGACAAGACTTGCAAGTATCAAACTTAGTCTTATTAATTGATACTGTGACGAGCGTCCCGAAGCTTCATCAGCGTCGCCCTGGAAACAAGCGAGGAGCACCTGGCCATCATCATCCCTCATGAGGCCTTTTTACAAATGTTCGAAGCGACGGCCACCATGGAAGGATGGCATAAGGATGACTGGGCACGGGTGCTGGCTCCCCTGCTGACGGGCGAAGCGCAGCGTGCATACTTCGCGCTTCCCGCCGCCTCCGCCGAACAATATAAGGAGGTCAAGAAGGAAATCCTAGCACGCCTGGGGTTATCCCCAATCTGTGCCGCCCAGCACTTCCACGAGTGGGAGTATAAGCCCCGTCTGCCGGCCCGTGCCCAGGCCGCCGAACTCACACGACTCGCGCAGCACTGGCTGCTGGAGGGGGCTCCATCGCCTGGACAGGTGGCGGAGCGCGTGGTGATTGACCGTCTCCTCCGAGCCTCCCCATAACCTGTGTCCATGGGGATACATGACAAGTTCCCGCTCGCAGGGTGACCATTTCGGCTGCTCCCAGCGCCTGGCCGGTGGAAGTCGGGGTCATGAAGGATCTTCCCGTCCCCGTGCTGATCGGGAGAGACTGGCCAGGGTTGCGTGTGACCGACCAGCCCCACAGGAGCACTGCACAGACCCTCTGCACTGGGAAGAAGGAAGAGAGCACTCACGGCACCTCAGCACCTACCTGGACCTTTCTCACTAGCACCCATCACCCCAATAAATCCAGCCTCCGGGGTATTGATTGAGATTACTTGTCGTGTGATTCTTCACCCCGTTACAATACATTAAGTATCATTTGCACCTTTTTACAAAGGTGTGTTTGAACTAAGAAGCTGATGTTTCCTTCAGGCTGCAGATCTGCTGAATATCCAATGGATATGCCCTCTAGGGGGCAGTAATACTGAAGACTCTTTGGAAGGCTTCACAAGTGATTCTTGAATGTCAATAGTGTGACTTCTGCATCTCTTTTGACAGTGAAACCAGCTGGAAAATGTTCTTTAAGAAATCTGTAACAAGACACAACCTTTAATGCTGAGATAGAAGATTGTATTTATTTTAAACTAAATTATGTATTGGTTTCATTTTCAATAGTATGTGTTCTATCTTCTGTATCTAAGTTCTGTGACTAAAACCACCATCAAAATGTTTGTCTAAACCGAAACAAAACACACCTATATAAGTTGTGATATAAAACTGTGTGTGTTCTAAATTAATTTATTACAAATTTGAACTCATCAAAACAACTGCAAAACAACACTTTGCCAGCTTTGTCTTAATTGTTTAATTTCAATAGCATTTCTGTTATCGTTCTATGACTAAAACAAATATAAAAATGTTCTTATAAAAAACAGTAACAAGACACACAACCACGAGGTTGATACAGAAGAGTGTATTTATTTTAAATGAATTTATTTACTGGTTTAAATTTCAATAGCATGTATGTTTTTTGTGTCATAGTTCTGTGAATACAACCAACATTAAAATGTTCTCACAAGCACCTGGAATAAGCCTACTGCATAACCATTGGATTATGGAATGATAATGATTTTTAATATTGTTTTTCTTTTATTAATATATTTATTAATAGTAATAATATAATAATAACCACTATCACATATCTTGTTTACAATATTTTTTATTTAAAATCATCCAAAAAGTCTCCTGTTTGATGTGCTAGTAAAGACGTTCTGCATCTAAATAAATGCAATTCTTGTCAAAAAAAAAGACAGAAACAGCAGTTGTGAGTGGGGTGGACAACCCTAACTCCACCCCTGCGTTAATTGCTTTAAGTAGCCTACTTTTATAACGTGTTAAATCAAAAAAAATTAAAAATTAGTCGTATGCATTAACGCGCTAATTTTGACAGCACTATTCAGTTTATATTAATTCTTATTTATTTTACAAATGTAATTCAGTCAAGGACAGTGAGTGATTTTCTTTCTGATGTTTGATTAACATTATTGACACAAATGGCAACAGCAGCAATTTTAGGCTGCTTTAAAGGCATAGTTCACCCAAAAAAAGAAAATTCTGTCATTGTTCACTCAACCTCAAGTTGTTCTAAACCTGTATGGGTTTCTTTTTTCTGTTGAGCACAAAAGAAAATATTTTGAACAAAATTGGAAACCAAACAGTTGCTGGGCCCCATTGACTTCCATAGTGTGAAAACATATATATGGGAGTCAATGGAGACAAGAGTCTCAACAAAGAAATTCAGTATTCAAATTATTGGTTATTGTCCAGCAGTGTATTTGATTTTTTTTAGCCAATTAAAAGTAAGAAAAATAATTATTATAATAATATATCCATAACAATTTGACATTTCTGTCCCTCTCACTTCTGAAATGATGGAAATGGTGCAACATGCCTTTGTTTATCAATGTATGTGCACTTGTAAAATGAGAAAGACACCTCTGAATAAGATTTGAGAATGTTAAATATGATTTATACACCACAATGGATAATTACAATTTTGATGCTTTCACATATCATTATAAATAACATGACATAAAGGTTGTTTTTAGAAATGATTTTCACTTATGTCCACAGTGCAACATATGGTTAAAGAACAGACAACATATTTTGTGGACCCAAAAATTACAATTCTGTCACCCTCATGTTGTTTTAAACCTGCATGACTGTCTTTTTTTCTGTGGAACATAAAGGAATACATTTTGAGATTATATGTGAGAAAAGTTTTTTTTTTTTTTGGTCCATGCAGTGACATATCATTGATTCCCACCCAGGGGTATGTGGAAAGATTTTGATGTTGCTTTGTGATTTTAATGTTATAATAACCTGTAAAATATAAGGGGGAAAAAAAAAATTGTAATATGGTGTAGATAAGGGGTACTTGATCCTTACTGATGGGAGTGTGGAGGGTGTGTGGGAAACAATGGCTATCTACAAAATGAGCAAGAAATTAAAGACAACACAGAATAATCACACCAGGGTAGCTTAGGCTTACATACATTTTAATAGGCCACAGATACATTTGTGGGGGTATATTGTTGTTGACACAAACTATTCAAATAATTTTTAAAGCTTCACAAAAGGCCAAACACATCGACGAGTCAATTTAAATTGTACTAGTCTAGCCTCAAAGTTCCAGTGTACCTGTAATGGAGCCGACGGGACGAGAGGCGTGCGGATCCATATGCAAGCTTTTATTAATAAACATGGTCAAAAAACACAGGCAGGGTCAAACAACAGCAAACAGGTATGGCACAGGCAAGACAGAAGAGCAATCCAAAACGGGCTTGAGTCAGACGACAGCGAACGTAACCCAGAGGGCTTGACAAGAGAGGTAATCTGTAAACGTGAGCAATAGTCCAGGTGAGGGGCAAAGACAGTCCAAAACAGCAAGGCAAAAGGTAAATCCAAGATACACGGGCAAGAATCAGAAACCAGGAAATCAGGAAACACAAGACGAGACTAGACTAGACTAGACTAGGACTAAAACTAGGAACTGAGACTAGGAACTAGAAACTAAGACAGGGAAATGGCTCCGTAAAGTGCTATCACTTGGAGAGCAATAACCGCAGACAATACTCTGCGACTTGAGCAGGATCTGGGTGGATGTTATATAGTGTGTGTAATAGCTTTCAGGTAAGCGTGTGATTGGTTACAGCTGTGTGCAATCACTGCAATGGATGATGGGAAATGTAGTCCAGGGTATAGTGTCTGTGTAGTGTGAGAGTCCATGTAGTGAGCGGGTGACCTCTGGTGGTGAATGAACGGAAGTTCATAGACCGGATTCGTGACAGTACCGCCCGCGGGACACTGCATGCTTTGAGGGATAACTTCGTGACATACAACTCAAAAAAAAGACCATTTTAAGATACAATCAACACAGCAGGTACAATCAGTGTCTTTGTCAGACCACCAACAACCAAATAAACAATAACAAAACTGAAGGAACTCACCTATGAAGCCTCCTGTTAGTCCACTAATTCATAACATTCCAACAAAAATGGTGTAGTTACACTGTAAAGGGTCCAGACTAACCACTTCAGTGAAATATTTAGTCCATAACACATTTATATGTTGATAAACATCCACGGAATGTAGAAGTATCATTTCAAATTAGCCGATGAAGCGATCAAATCTTCGGCGCATTCTGAAGTATAGCTTCTTTTCACATGTAAACATGGATTTATTGATGTCAAAATAGCCGCTGACCTCTGCCCTTTTGATTGACATGTCATTTGAACCAATAGCTGCATCTAAGAGGTGTCAACAGGCAGCGATAGCCAAAGAGCTCCCAGGATGAAGGATGGTGCCGCCCTCGCTTTGATGGACAGTAGATCGATCCAATTGCTTCAGAGTTTGCAAATGACTGTCGTTTCTGATAGCCAATGAACTTCTGAAAAGATTAATATTCAGCTTTATTGGGACGGTTCAACCTGTTACGCACAGAAGTCCGTGCGTCAAGGATTATAGTGACTCGTGCGTCTGTGCGTCCGTGCGTAAAGAGCGTTTTGAGAGAGTTTATGGGTGAAAGATGGTTAGAGGTGAAAAATGGCAAAGAGAACGAGAAAAACAAACCTTTTGCTCTAAGTAGTTGTTGAACAATATGCTCAGCCGGACAGTGATGGTGTTTTTGACGGAGAGAGCGATGTTCCATTGAAGCAGAGGAGATGTTTTTGGATGGAGGAGATGTCACTCTCATCAAGTAAGTGTTTTATTATATTATATAGTTATATTTATATATATATTATACATATAATTATGTATATTATACATATTTTAGGGACATTCTAAAACGCTTAACGTGGCTTAACGTATGTAAACAACGACCAGAGAAACCCAGATTTCTGTCAAACCTTACTTGTAATAAACACTAACTACTGTCAAAAGAACTAGCCCTTACTCCACAGATAAAGTGAATAATATCACTTTAAGCATTTTCTCCCCATAGAAGTCCATTATAAGGAAACAGCTTAACGTGGTTTAACGTACCTTAACAACGACCGGGGAAAACCAAATTTCTGTCAAATTTTACTTATAATAAACACTTACTGCTGTCAAAATAACAAGCTCTTATTCAGCGTATAAAGTGAATAATATCACATTAAGCGTTTTCCCCCATAGAAGTCCATTATAAGGAAACAGCTTAACGTTATGATCCAAAAGCGCAGACAAATCAATAAACTTGACAATAAACGCTTTGTTGTCCCATTGTTTGGGGGCGTTGACCCTGTTCGCATGGCTCGCGTAGATCATTACCATATAGCACTCTGCGCGAGAACGTGATCATTAGAGATAATGAGCTGAGACAGGAGAAACCTGTACCTGTCTTTACTTTAATGCTTATTACAAAATTAAACTGAACAAAAATTTTCTCAGTTTGTCGATGCGTCCACATTAAGCTGTTTCCTTATAATGGACTCCAGTGGGGGAGAACGCTTAGCGTGATATTATTCACATTATACGCTGAATAAGAGCTCGTTCTTTTGACAGCAGAAAGTGTTTATTATAAGTAAAATTTGTCAGAAATTTGGTTTTCCCCGGTTGTTGTTAAGGTACATTAAACCACGTTAAGCTGTTTCCTTATAATGGACTTCTATGGGGAGAAAATGCTTAAAGTGATATTATTCACTTTATCTGTGGAGTAAGGGCTAGTTCTTTTGACAGTAGTTAGTGTTTATTACAAGTAAGGTTTGACAGAAATGTGGGTTTCCCTGGTCGGTGTTTAGGTACGTTAAGCCACGTTAAAGCGGTGGTTCACTGGGTTTTTTCTAGGCTTGATTGTGTTTATGGGGTGCAGTCTAACATGTGTTAATGCTGACAGAAATTTGGTTTTCCCTGGTCGTTGTTAAGGTACGTTAAACCACGTTAAGCTGTTTCCTTATAATGGACTTCTATCTGGGAGAAAACGCCTAACGTGATATTATTCACGTTATCTGTGGAATAAGGGCTCGTTCTTTTGACAGTAGTTAGTGTTTATTACAAGTAAGGTTTGACAGAAATTTGGGTTTCCCTGGCCGGTGTTTAGGTACGTTAAGCTACGTTAAGCGTTTTTCACGTTAAGCATTTTAAAATATCCCATATTTTACTGTATATATTGAGGTATGTGTTTGGTTTGAGGTGTTCCTGCTAACTTTTGTCGTGTGTGTGTGTGTGTGTGTGTGTGTGTGTGTGTGTGTGTGTGTGTGTGAAAACTAAAAATAAAAAAGAAGA